GTTGAATCGCACGTGGAGAAGAGGACCTTGAAGGAAGACGGAGAATGAAATGGCATGTCTAAATGTTGATGTAACTTCTCTGGTGTTTGCAGAACTGTGTGAAAATGTAACCAGGATCCTTTTGGTGAAATCCTTTGACTGAAAATTCCTACTTGTCCTGCAGTGGAGATGGTGGGGGTGATTAGGAGCAGGCTGTTCGTGTGAGCAAAGTTGGTAGCTCTCTGTTGCTCTTCCAGTATCAGAGCTTAAGGCGTCGCTCCTTTTTCTGAGCGATAGTGAAGTAGGCTGTTCCCGTGAGAGTCACTGTGTTGGGGCAACATTTGCAAGGAATTCTGATATTTTCAGTTTTACGTGAAGAGAAGGTTGTGAGGGAGGAAATAAATGGCCTTGACACATATTTGAAAAATGATGGAAACTTTTCAGCATTTTGTAAAACAAAATTACCTAAGTTAAGAAAGGTGGTTGTTAGTGAAATGGTATGTGGGTTTAAAATGTAAAAATTCATCTTGAACAATGGGACTTGCTATGGAGTTCTGTTAGTATTGAGAAGGTGTAATTTAGCTTTGGTTAAAATCTCTCCAGTTAAACTGCTCATCCTTGCTTTCTGGGAGGCTGCCGCTTCTCACCCGGGATGCGTGCATGGGTCCTTAGCCTGTACCGACTGTGAATGAGACAAGTGAAACGGCCACATTGATTTAGGTTTTTTTCAGATGTTTTTTTCCACCCTAAAGTTCAAGATGCAATTCTGTAAGGGCAGTTGGTCCCCACTCCTGTTCTGGTTAAATCTGTTGATTTAGCTCTAGCTTTCATGTGCATGGCTTGAAACACTGTGTGTGACATCTCAGAAGTAGTATTCTGATTTTACTGATAGGAAAATTAAGTAAAAAAAGAAAACCAAACCATTAGCTTGCATAGGACATCTTACAGGCAGCGTGGAGGTAAAACGTGGATCTTTTTGACTCCTTGTCTAGTGGTGCAAGTTGTTTGTCTTGGACTTTTTGAGGTAGCTGTCTCACCCACGCCGGTCCTCACCTCTTGCCCACACATCCATACTCTGTAGTGCTGCGTTGCTGCTGCATATACCTTTGGTTTCTTCTGTAAAGCAGTCAGTGGTTTTAATACTGATGTCAGTAGGTGTGGTGGGGAGTACATTGTGTAGTGGATACAGGTGAAAAAAATCTCCTGAGTTGTTGGTGGGAGCATGGTAGTAGGAGCCAGGGCATTTTTCCTCCTTGTTTTTGATAGCGTTCTACTGCTACAAGACAGTTTGGGCTAAGAGCAACGTTGCTACTGATTTGTAGCCATCAGGACTGATAAACTATGTGAAGGGGCCTTCAGAGTATCTTGGCAAACTGTGTTTGGATGCTTAGTGCACACAAAGTCTATCATCTGCATTATTAGGAAGATGATTCCTGTTTGTGCTGTTTTCCTCCTGCGTTGAGATCATTCTCCTATCCAGCTGTTACCCAGCTGAGGTCTTGATAGTTCTCAGTTATTCCATAATGACAAAATCAAATTAGCACTACAATGACTGCTGCATGTGAAATTCCTCTCAGTTAAAGCACGTTGCCCTGAGTATTCTCTGGCTATTTTTTTCTTGGGAGAATTCGGCGTCTTGTGTTTGAAAGGGAAAAGAGAAAAGATGCGGATTAGGAAACGCTGGTGTTTAAGGTACAGTGAGTGCATAGCTTTCTTCTAGAACATAATCTGTCCAGCTGTGACTTAGTCATCTTCAGTCTTATATAAAATGCATCCAATCCAAATAGTTGAGCATCTCCCTCCTGAATGCGGCAAACCAGCGTCTTTTACGCTTATGTGAAGCTGTAACAGGCGCAAGCCATCTTCTGAGGAGTGCCTTCATACTTGTGAACCTGCAGCATCCATCATGCTGTCAAGCCTCATTTACTCGTGTGATGGGATTTTTTTGTTGTTGTTGTTCTGTTGCACAATTTTTCCAGGTTTAAAGAGGTTCCTTGCTGTTGGCAGGGAATACAGCACTGATCATCCCAGACAGGAGAGCAGAGAACATAACGTGAGAACAAGAGTGACTCTCCTGAGTCAGACTGAAGGTTTTGTTCATCTCTGACAGGGCCAAAAATTGATGCGTAGGGAAGAATGTAAGGTGAGGGGATCACAGGATCCTGGCTAACATCTCTAATTTCAGTGTAGTAGTTCATGCTGTTACATTAAATAGAGCCCTGCTCTCAGTTGCTCTGATTTCACAGAGCTATTCTTTAAGGAAAGAGGCATAACTTGACTATTATGACATGCTTTTGTATGGATAAATATATGTCCACATCAGTCCTTTGTTTATATAATTATCTGTTTTTTGGAGGAGTGGGGGAGATTCTTTTTAGTGACTAAAGCAAGAACTGGTAAGCTTTGTAGGAACTGGCCTGTGTGAGTTGAAAGATACTCTGCGCTAGTTGAGGGATGATGGACATCCTTACTTAGGTAGTCAAGGAAACAGATCCTGTGAGTGTATTGTTAAATAAATGTATTGATTAAGACAGGTGCTGATAAATCTTACCATTGTGGACATGGAAGGTAACATTTAAAATTGGATCGATACATTTGCCACTAATACATGTTTCATGAAAATGGGGGGAAGCTGACATCTTCAGTCCCCTATGCATGCAGAGGAAGAACAGTCTCCTTCGGAGGCATAGTTAGAGCTGCAGCTTCAGTTGGGTAGTTTGAAGCATTCTTTGAAGGTTTCTGAGGACGTGTGTGTGTAGTTTTAGTTTTAAAAACAAGTTTTACACTGTTTTTCATAAGAGCTACAAATGTACTGTGCTTACTGTGAAGGCTTAATGGCCTGGGGACCTCTAGGCTGCAGTCTGTTGCATGAGTTTAAGTTCTCCCCAAAGAACTGTGGTAAATCCATATGCTGGGTTTTAGGCTGTGCTGGACAAACATGGTCTACCTCGTTTGTAAGCTGCGATGCCAAGTGTAGAAATGACTAGGTGAGATTTTCCAGTCTTTGTTAGGTGGAAAGTCAGATCATCAGGAGGTTATTTTTGGCCTTAAAATGCATAGTTACACAAACACTCAGTGGCCCTGGAGAAGAAATGAGCAAAGCCCTGAGCAACCTGATCCAAGTCGGCCCTGCTTTGGGGAGAGGAGGGGGGTTTCAGTCGGTTAACCTTCAGTGGTCCCTTCCAACCTGGATTCTTCTGTGGCTCTGTGGAATTGGACTGGGTGTAGGAGGTGTGGGGGGCGTGCATGTGTGGGGTGGAGAGGGCAAGAGTTAGGAGGAAGAAGGCAGGGTACGCTGACACTGGAAATGGTTGTGCTGGAGAAATTTCATTAATGGTGATCTAAAATATCTGGGATTGTAACTGGGAAGGGACACACCTAGCTTTGTAGAAGGTTGTGAGATGAAATCAGCTTTTAATTTACTGCTCTCTAGAATCTTTTTATCTGGATAGTATAAAATACGTGATAAAGCTTCTGTCAGAGAGACACTAGAGGGATAATAAAGTATGTTTTGCCACGTTTCAACAAAAGGTATGAATCCGTCCAGTTGCAAGGTGATGCATTTGTTAGCAAAACTGCAAACCCACCTATAAATTGTGAAACAGCATTTTGGAAAGCAGTAGCTCAGAGGGCTTTAAGGTCTTTGCTGCTAGTTGCCTCTAGTTGGTACTCTGGCCAGTATTTTATTCAAAAGGGTTAAAGTGATTCTTGGGCATATTGAGAAAAAAAAAAGTGGGGGAAAGGAATGTGAAGCAAAAATAAGTAATCTTATAAACACCGCAATGCTGAGACTGATACTGGAATCGAATTTTGGTTTCCATGCTTCAAGAAGAATGCCAGTGTATTTGGAGAGAATTCAGAGGACAGCTGCAGAAATGATCCAGGGACTGGAAAATAAGCCTCATGATGTGAGGCTTAAAGGAGCTCAACTTACTCAGCTTATTGAAAAGACAATTGAGAGAGGACTTGATCTTTCTCTAAAAGGACTTGTGAGATTTGCTGACAAAGGCAGAGCAATATCAACTGAGGTTAGACAAATTCTATCTTGAAGTACAGTTTCCTAGCAATGATAATAATTAAACATTGGAATGGTTTACAGGGAAAGGGAAAGGAGCAAACCTTCATCTTAGTCTTTTGAAATAGGCCTGACTCATTTCTTTCTGGAGAAAATACATTGTGGGTTTTGGGTTTGTTTTGTTTTGTTTTTTTTGTTATGATGATAATACTCCTTTCCTGACACTGGAGTTCAAGAATCTTTAAAGATTTTGTACCATGATCAGTTGGCACAAGTTGAGATACATGCACTCTCAGTAAAAGCAAAGATCATGAAATTAAGATGACTTTAGAGGAGAAATAGTTAACCTGGTGCTAGAATACTGCCTTGCATAAGACACAGAAGATGTGAAGGGAACTCTGAAATTTAATGCTTTGTGGCTTGCATCGTTGGAACTCAGTTGTTTCCCATACTGCGTTGCTTCAGATGTTTAAGATACAGTTAAGGCTTTCTGAAAGCCTCTGCAGAGAAGCCCTGATGTAACTGCGTACACTCACTGTATTCAGATGAGCATTTCTGAATTCCAGTTGACCGCAGCAGAAGTCTGGAAATCTTTTTCATCCTTTTTTAGAAACAGTGTTAAAAAAATTGCACAATGGCAAGATGATTACAATTCCTCTGAGAGGCAAAGTAAGCACAAGCTCTCCTGGTAGGCTTCATTCTTAAATTAGTGTAGGGCATTCTCTGTCTCTCACGTTAACTGGGCTTAGTCAGAAAGTTTGTTCGTGGTTGAAACAATATTAAATAATTGTCACAAGCAGTATTCTAATGGCACTTGTTTGCTGGTTTTCGTGCCATCCGAACGAGAGTGCTTTAGCGATTCTGCTCCTCCCTTGCTTTGTAAATTCACCTGGGGAATGGGGTGACTCAGTTTGGTAATGGCTCCAGATCTGCGCTTCTGCTTTTTATTTGCATTTGCCCATTCCACCACGCCCTCAATGGCTGCCGGGTTTCTGTATTTCCCTAGATTACCTCCTTCCAGATGCCTTGGTGGACACGCAGAGCTCCAAAATCCCCTCTGCACAGGTGGAGCTCTGGACAGCCCTGCCCGAGTGCACCCTGCTCCTTGCCGGCGAGGAGGAGGAATGGAGCTACCTGGGCTACTCTCCTCTTACCTTCTCTCCGAAAAAACCTGCCTCTGCTCTCGTCTCCTCTCCTCCCCTGGGCCCAGCCAGGGAGGAGCCGCGTCGCTCTTGTCTTTGCCGCTGTGCAGTAAGGAAACGCTTCTGTGTCCTGAGGAAGAAGAGGCAGCTCAAAACTCTGTAGCTCTCTGGACGTTGAGCCTATCGATTTGTCACATAAATCGAGCTGTTTTTGAGGTGGAAGAAAGGTTGTCTAGCAACTGCAAGTTTCCTTGCTTTGGGCTAAAGGGATAGCAAACTGCGGAAACGTGTTGGGGCACCACACGGTGTAAAGCAAAGGCCTCCAGCTTCGAGATCTAGCGCAGTAATCCCTGCTGCTCGCCTCGTCCAGGCAGCCCCATCTGTCTTAACCTGCCGAAGTGACTTGCAGACAGTGCTACACGTAAGAGGTTGTGAAGGCTTAGCAGTAAAGAAATCTCCCCCCTTCCTTGCCTTCCCTCTCTGCTGTGTCATCACTGCCCTCTCCCCAGCATCCAGAGGCTGATGGAGGGTCATCAGCCTCGTCAGCATGAGCAGCCTCGTGTTTCAACCTCGGGGTTTCATCATGGGGTTGTACACCCCGGTGCTTAGCTGCGTTTGCGATATTCGTGAACACGTCCTCAATATGTTCCTCTGCTCGTGATTCAGCCTTCGGAGAACCCAGCGGTTGTGGCAGTGGATAGCGTTCCGTTGTTGGTGTGTTACAGAACGGCTTGCTCAGCACGGCTTTGGCGTGAGCTCCACTCCGAGTGCTCCTGGCCAGCTGCTTGGTGCCAGGACTCCGGTGTTACCACCCACGGGCAGTTAAGGGGGTCGGTTACAGGGTTGTGCGCCCACAGAGAAGCTCTGCTCTGGAGAAGAATTACTAATTTATCTACCAGTCACCAGAAATAAAGTTGGTTTAAGTAACTTCATTCAGTCACTGGTTGCAGGTTTGTGACTGCTGATTTCTGATCGTCTGCATTTGCTTTGAAAATGCGTTCGACTGGATTATCCACTTTTCATCTTGCTAACAAAAAATGGTCTAGTCAGAAAAGCGACTGTGGCTCTCGGCGCTGTCTGAGCCTTGCGTTTCTTGCCAGCAGTTATGAGGCAGGCGTTTGGGAGCTTCCCAAGTGTCACACCACCTTCTCTGCGGTTGTGAGAGCAAGTCTTCGATTGTCTCGTTTTACAAAAAACTTACTGAAATAACTTGTTAAACCTCACATTCCTTAAAGCCTGATGGTCCAATATGTTGTTTGCTGATGGCTTATTCTGTAAATCTGGCTCCTGTAACATTGTCATTGGGTGAACACCCACCACGCACGGAGGACCCAGCACGCAGAGCCAGGGCGTGCCATGCTGCCAGGTCAGTAGTCCTGCATTTTGAGATCAACACGTAGCTTGCCAGTGCCAAAATGCAATACAGCACGAGGTGGAAGTCAGCCAGAAAAGACTGTAGACAACGTCTCTTCAACATAATTCAGCACCAGCAAGCGGGTAGAAGCCTCGAAGGGGAAATAAGGCCTTTCGCCTGATACGCTGTCTTTGGGCCTTCGTGGTTGCTCTCCACCACTGTCCTACTGGTTCTGCTCCCTAACAGGTTTTATTCTGGGAAAAGGAGCTCTGCAGGAAATGTGTGAATTTTCTAGGGGTCCTAGAACCATCTTAGATGACCGAGAATGGCATTGGGCACCAGTACCTGGGCAAGTGCCCCAGATGGTGGCACAGATGTCCCTGAGAAGGGGACGTGGTGGGGGCAGAGCAGTGAGCTGAGCTGAGCTTTGAAACCTGCCACAATGCTGGAATATTGCTGAAATCCTTATTAACTGTGTGAGATTCACTGGATTTTAATGCCTCTCAGTGATTACATAGCTTAATTAGCAAACGTATCCGACTGTCTTGGTGCGTGCGGTGCAGGTGGCAGGTGTTTTCGTAGCCCGGTTTCCCACTCGAGGCCTGTCGGACAAACCGGTGTTTGTTGGGACGCGGCACAGGAGCATTACATAAGCTTGGAGTAACTTCCTTACAATGCCGAGAAAAATGTATTTGCATGATCTCGAGCCCAGGTGCAAGGCTGTGTAGCTCGCCGGTCGCAAACCACAGAGGCCAGGCTGGATGATGGTGATGGTTCCAGCTGGGGAGGAAGGGTCAAAACAAGCCCTGTACTGGAAAGCAAGGCTGAACCTTCGCCACGGCTCCATAAGTGCCACACTGTGTGACGTTGCCATGGCTGCCCGGGCTGTCCCTGCGTGGTTTCCTGGTGTGGGAGAGCAGGGCCGAGGCTGCCGGCGGGCGGAGAGCTGCCGTACGTGTTTGGGGAGCTCAGGCGTGTGCTGGCAAGCTGCGGTGACGGGAGGATCCCCGGCTGGGAGATCTGAGGCTTTGAGCTCAGTCTCTCCCCCGTCTCTTCCCTCGAACAGATCAGAGGACGAGCTGTGATTTTTGCAGGAATTTTAACCGCCCCCCCCCTTTTACTTTTTTCTCGCTATTGTAAGGTCCTTCATTCCGTCTGAAGCCGCGGTCGCACCAGGAGCGAGGTGGCGATGCGAAATGGAGGATCTGGGGGGTCATGGAGGGAGGCCGGGGGCGTCTCGCCGGGTCTGGATGGGCTCCGGCATGTTTTGATCCGAGATGCTTCGGCCGCGTTGCCATCTGCATAGCCTGTGAATAGTTTTCTCTGGCACAGACCTTGTTCCTCAGTGTTGCATCATCTCTGGGAGAAAGGCCAGGTCCGGAGCCCCAGCACAAAGGCTTTCTGAAGCCGATGAAGCTTGTTCTGTGTGCGGAGCATCTATCTCCTTCCTGTCGTCCTTTCCACGGGATTCCTGGAGCGGCCTCCGTCCGAGAGCCCCTTCGTCAGCAGCTGCTTTCTCTCCGCCGCTTCCTGCACACCTGGCTGATGCAACGCCTGCCTTGGGAGCCGCTGCCGGAGTCTGCTCCGGAGCTGGGTTGTTTGTCCCGGCTGGGGGGGTAGACGTATAAAGGACGTACAGCCAGAGCTGCGAGGCAGGGAGTATTTAGTGGGATTATGGAGAAATCTTTTTTTCCAGTTCGAGGACTGGAGGTTGCAATCCTACTCCTGGCAGCTTGTTTGTGGTTAGCCTTGCACTGGCTGGAACTTCGGGACGCTGCTCCATGCCAGCAAATTCTGCTGATTCCCCTTCTATATTCAGCGACTTCCCGTGACTCTGGACTGTCCGGATTCCCATGGGAACTATAATTCTCGGGGTTTGGATTTGATCCTAGTTATTGCCCGGTATTACTCTGTTTCCCTCTGACCTTGTAAGTGGTGTAGGCTTTTCTCTGAAATCCCTGCAAAACACAATTTCAAGGTCTGAAGGTGTTGGTTTTTTTCTTTTTAAAGGGGGGTTGTCTGACAGGCTTTTTAATTTAGGGTTTGTCTGCTTAGGAAGGTTTGATAGTTACGCAGGTACAGCCATTCGTGTGAATACTGTTGCATTCACAAGCAGCAAAACTTAGAACAAAGAAGCACTCTTGTCTGCTAGGATTAAACCAATGTTGTTTACATTATTTAAATTAATCTCGAGTCTTATTTTAACCGTAGCCATTTTCTGATGTAAGGAGGCCTCTTAAATAGAACCTGAGAACACAGGATTTATACAGACAAAGTGTGGTGGACTGAGCAGGGGTGCTTTCCAGTACTGCTGTTACTAGTTGTCTGCTCTGCCCCACTGCAGAAATCTACTGCCCCTATAACAGTATCTAAAAGGGAATATGTATTTTACCTGCTTCTGCTTTTAGTCCAGTCGTCTTGGCGTCAGCTGCACTGGATGAGACATGGCAGCGTTTCCTTCCTGCCAGCTGTTTTGGCAAAGGCTTAGAGGGGACAGTCGCAGCAGTAACTTCAACTGGCACAGCTGGATTCACTGGAGGTTAGTTGTCAAGCCCTTAATCTCAGACTGTCAGTTCTGAACCATTTTGTTTGCATTTTCTTATTTTTGTGACATACAGACATTTGACTGTTCTCCTTCACCCCATGGGAAAAGAGAGTGGCTATCTCAGAGTATAGAACCAGCACAATAGTGAGGATGTGTTGTTCCTCTCGCTGCAGACTATTTTTCCCTCACAACTGCCCTGAATCAAAAGTTTGTAGAAGTGTAGAATTCTCTCCTGTTTAATTTATTTTGGTAATTTTTGTATCATCGTATGTGTGGGGTCTCATGTGTAATTAATAATTTTTTTTTCTCTTATATTGCTGTATATCTTTCAGAAAAGAATAGAAAACAATATTTGCAAAAATAAAAGTGTTTTTGGGGGTCACCTTCCTTTCATTTTTGAAAACATGCTTCTAAGTGTCTTCACCAACGACTTGTTACGCTGTGAGGTAGAGGCAATGTAAAACAATGTTTCTAGCATAAAAAGGGACCAAGAATTATTCTTTCTGAGTCTATGGGATTTTTCTGAATTTCTCCATTATTACCATTATTCTTGAAGTTTCAATTTGAGGAATGACATTTTTAAGGTGTTACGATTTGATATAGGTTGCTAGACTTTCAAAGTATTTTTTCTGTGAGGTTTTCTTGAAGACATCCTCTGTTTATGGTACGAGGACTTTGATATGAAGTTCTCGGTTGGTGTAGTCCTTTTCCCTTTACGTTGAGGTTGTTATTCTTTTCAGACATCTCTGTCGCCGTCCTGCTCAGCAGACTGCGTGTGCAGCCCCCGCAGATGCAGCTAGGTCCCCGCTCGTCAGTGTGGGGTGCAGGCAAAGTTTCCCAGTGTCTGCCTGCCACCTCTCCGTGCCAACATACCTCAGAATAATTTGGTCTACCGTGGATCACTGCTACTCTGTAATTTGCTTGCCCTTGCTAATTTGGCATGTATTTGTCTATGGAATTATCCTTATGCATGACTCTTCAACCAATTTAAAGTCGATATAAATTAAACTTTCCAGTAAGGTTCTGTGATGCAAGTTAGATGTCTTAAGAAAGTCCAAACAAACCCTTGTCTGACGTCTCCATCTCCAGATTGTATTGGACTGCAAAGAATGTGGTTGAATTGTCCGGTAGAAGGTATTTCTGGGAGCAAAGTCTTATCTGCCCTTCCTTAATCTCTTATTAAATTTTTCTTCTATATCTTATCACAATACCTGAAATCCTTAGTATTTCCAAAAGAAAAAAGTAAGATTTGTTTTTTGTCTGC